TGAGAGTGCTGTGTATGATATATGTGAGAGTGCTGTGTATAATGTGTGTGAGAGTGCTGTGTATGATGTGTGTGAGAGTGCTGTGTATGATATATGTGAGAGTGCTGTGTATGATGTGTGTGAGAGTGCTGTGTATGATGTGTGTGAGAGTGCTGTGTATAATGTGTGTGAGAGTGCTGTGTATGATATATGTGAGAGTGCTGTGTATGATATATGTGAGAGTGCTGTGTATGATGTGTGTGAGAGTGCTGTGTATAATGTGTGTGAGAGTGCTGTGTATGATATATGTGAGAGTGCTGTGTATGATGTGTGTGAGAGTGCTGTGTATGATATATGTGAGAGTGCTGTGTATGATGTGTGTGAGAGTGCTGTGTATGAGAGTGCTGTGTATGATATATGTGAGAGTGCTGTGTATGATATATGTGAGAGTGCTATGTATGATGTGTGTGAGAGTGCTGTGTATAATGTGTGTGAGAGTGCTGTGTATGATATATGTGAGAGTGCTGTGTATGATGTGTGTGAGAGTGCTGTGTATGATGTGTGTGAGAGTGCTGTGTATGATATATGTGAGAGTGCTGTGTATGATGTGTGTGAGAGTGCTGTGTATGATATATGTGAGAGTGCTGTGTATGATGTGTGTGAGAGTGCTGTGTATGATGTGTGTAAGAGTGCTGTGTATGATATATGTGAGAGTGCTGTGTATGATGTGTGTGAGAGTGCTGTGTATGATATATGTGAGAGTGCTGTGTATGATGTGTGTGAGAGTGCTGTGTATGATGTGTGTGAGAGTGCTGTGTATGATGTGTGTGAGAGTGCTGTGTATGATGTGTGTGAGAGTGCTGTGTATGATGTGTGTGAGAGTGCTGTGTATAATGCTGTGTGAGTGCTGTGTATGATGAGTGCTGTGTATGATATATGTGAGAGTGCTGTGTATGATGTGTGTGAGAGTGCTGTGTATGATGTGTGTGAGAGTGCTGTGTATGATGTGTGTGAGAGTGCTGTGTATGATGTGTGTGAGAGTGCTGTGTATGATATATGTGAGAGTGCTGTGTATGATGTGTGTGAGAGTGCTGTGTATGATATATGTGAGAGTGCTGTGTATGATGTGTGTGAGAGTGCTGTGTATAATGTGTGTGAGAGTGCTGTGTATGATGTGTGTGAGAGTGCTGTGTATAATGTGTGTGAGTGCTGTGTATGATATATGTGAGAGTGCTGTGTATGATGTATGTGAGAGTGCTGTGTATGATATATGTGAGAGTGCTGTGTATAATGTGTGTGAGAGTGTGTGTATGATGTGTGTGAGAGTGCTGTGTATAATGTGTGTGAGAGTGCTGTGTATGATATATGTGAGAGTGCTGTGTATGATGTGTGTGAGAGTGCTGTGTATAAATGTGTGTTGGGGGGGTAAATAAACAAAACAAAAAAAAACTAAGTAGGCATTAAATCCCCCCTCCCTCTTACCTTTAGCCTGAGAGGGGGGGGGGGGACAGGCACGTGGTAGCTGGGAGGAGGGGGACCGGCACACTCACATCATCCCTGGTGGTCCAGTGGTGAGTGAACTCTAGCCTGAGGGCTAGAGTTCACTCTCGCGAGATCGGGGCGTTGCCATGGCAACGCTCCCGATCTTGCGAGAGGAACCTGGCGGAGCTGCAAGTTAGAGCTCCGCCGGGTCCTCTCCCTCTCTCCCCAGCCGCAGGTCTATTTAAATGGGCCGGTGAGGGAGATCCATGGCAAACAGCGGGGCCAGCGCTAGGAGAGTGCCGGCCCTGCATAGACCGGCAGGGTAGATCCTGGGACCTCCCCTGCCGGCCTCGGTCCATAGCCACCGCGGCCCACCGGGCATTTGCCCTCTGTGCCCGATGGCCAGTCCGGGCCTGGTGCTAGTGCTTTTGGGGGAATCCCTGCTAAGAAGGCTCTTTTAAGATTTTAGTAAACTATACAGTCTGAAAACCGAACAACTGGAATCCTTTTTACCGCTATTTCCACAGTGGGTCATATAATCTAACTCTTCACAGACAAGAGGAGCTTTGTTGATGGAATCACAATTTTAAATAAATTTTTGTTTTAGAAGAAATGAAACACTTGCTATTTGTACCCGATCCCCTTAATATTTCCAGCTGTCCGGGCTGCATTCCTTTTCTCTATGTGTAATTTCATGTCCGCCACATATTTTCGTATCATTAATTGCAGTTTTTTGACACATGTTGTTTAAAGTGCCTTGTACACGTTTGGCTTCCCACCCCCTACATGCATCCTTTTCCATATGCTCCCATTACCTTCACCTAGTTAATAATCAGAATTTACATAGATTTTGCCTGAAGCCAGTGTAACTGAATGTACAGTCATGATGTATTTGTCGAAATATGTAATGAAACGGTTTCGAATTTTCCTATCTCCGGAGAATTGGGAGCTGTGCTGTTTCAGGTTCCAGAGTAAGCGTCTTGTTCTTTTTGAAGAAGGCCTCAGGATGTGGCCCTTGGCTAGCCATTTACCTTGTTGTAGCCAGAATACAGAG